AAGTAATAAAAGCCACACTGTTTTATCAGTAGCAGCTATTATCCTCATGTTTCTTTTCAAATGAAATCATCAAGAGCTTTTTAAGAAGTAACTGCAGTTAAAAAAAAAGCATTTGGCAATTCTAGAACCAGAAGCCACAAGAAATGGTTGGTACCGCCATGACACGCAACTTATGGCAAACAATCACAGCCTTTAATGTATCGTATCTTTTAAACAAATATCAGAAACAAGGTACTTATTTTTGCAACATTGGTAAAAAAAGAAGTTTCAAGATTTTTTTGGCGCCTTAACTACACTAAGCAGAATTATCAGTTCCTACCACTAGACATTTCATTCACTGTATAGCGTAATAACTTCTAAATACATGCGCTATAAGTTTACGTAGCAATGTTAAAAGCAAGTATGTTTAAATATACACTATGATATATATTTTTTAACACAATAACCTGTATTCTTGCCTCCTTAATTTGTTTGTTATGTTAGTCAAAATAAGCTTCATTATGTACGTACACATAGACAAAAATTTATGTGAAAACTGCCTTGTGTTTGGGCACCAGGCACATTCATTCAAGCTGCACTTTCACCTATTTTTGCCTAGGCTCACCCCCAGCAACTACTGCTGGAAATAAACTTTCTTAATTCTTGAGCCGACATCCTGCTCTCTCACTGGATTCGAACACAACACGGACACAAAAGTTGTCACAAAAAATGCTCGTTCCATTGCCGGCCTCAGAAAAGAAAACACAACTACCTCCCTTCACATTACTCTTCAACACTGACGATAAAGATTTCGAGATGTCGAGAGTAGCAGAACCGCAAGATGCCCTCTACAATGGAGCTACGTGCTAATGAGGTGACCTGTACGGAACCGACAGCAATAACTCACTACGCATGCTAGCGACGATGCTTCAGTGCAGACATCATCGAGGGCTCCAGCCACCCCTTCTAACCATAGAGTCTTTGCGCCCAACTGTAACAGGGTAGTCGCTTAAGGAAAGGAGATGTGGCCCGGCACCCCGCCTACTGTCACATGCACGCGCCACATTTGTAAAGGACAAAGAGCCTATTTCACACTCCTGATACGAGAATCATGTTACCTGTCAAGGGCATGCGCATCTGAACACCCACAAAACAGAAGCTTTTTATTATTACCAGCAGGCACTTTTGCACTCCTCAAGCTCAAGGCAGTGCGCAAACACATGACACAAGCCGGTACCAGAATCTATGCCTGGCACAATACACAATACATGTGATGCAGGCTACTTCTGCCCGAATACGAGCCTTAGCGCAAGAGCAGATGATTTGACGCAAAAGTGAAGTGATTGGAAATGACCCGTTATATGTGTATATGCCCTTCAATTCAACAAGTAAAGTCTGAATTAGTCACCACAGAGCCAAAAACTTGCTCTGTGGTGATGACCAGCAAAAAAAGCCATAACACTCCTACATGAAACATTTTTCTGGCACACTAGGAGCATGCATCTACAATGTGGAAAATAGACAGCAATAGTGTTATCTTGAAAGTCAAAACAAAGCTTATGAAATCCCATATGTTCCCAAATAAATTGTCAAAAAATGAGAGTAGACTTGGCTTCACACATTTTCCATGCTACAGCTTCAATGCCATAGATTTTTAAAAAGAGAGATAACCATCAACAGAGATCAACATTGGTATGTATATGTGTACCCAACAAGGACCTTAATAAAACTAATAGCTAATCTCACCAATGCCGTGACTGTTTAGATTCCAAGCGGAAGTTCTACAGCAGGAATAGGATGAATGCTTTGTCCTATTTATATCCCAAGTCTGCACATTCGGCCTCAAGAAGATTGTTATGCAAGCATAACTAACTGTGGCATTTTCGGCACCCATGGCAATTGTGTGACCTTGTGAATACGGAAAGACATGAAAATGCTCTGTGCAGCACAAGACGCACTCATCAATTTGTAAAGTGTACTGTTAGTGTTGTGTATGAAGTCCCCTATGTCCTATAGGAGAACACACATCAGCAAGAGTGGTCGATGCCTCAACACTCATCTCATGAAGCACGACAACAATTTTCGCCAGAAGCAGGGAAGAAATCTGGCTCTGCATTGTGCCATCTCCGGGTGCTCTCCAAACTTTCACACTTGCTGTGTTTTGAGTAGTCATCGGGACAAAACAGTACACTTAATAAAAGAAGCTTTTGCACATATGAATATGCTGTCTTACACAGACACCCTAAACTACAAATGCATAGGTACGCCACCTTCTGCCCTGCACTGCACAGGAGGTGCTCCATGAGCCCAATTCTTCTACTATGTACAGTTCTGTCAGGGAGTCTTAGTCAGTGCCACTGGCTAACCCTCCCCCCTCGAGAGGCACAAAAATGCCTCATACGATGAACAGCGGGACGAATGCCAGTGTAGCTCACTTTGCAAAGCATTGGATGCATTGTCTAAAGGTTGTACCAATGGCAAGCTGTCTCTTTTTGTCCACTTTAACTTCTTCATATTTATATCATGATTTCTACTAATAATGTCCCTTATTCATTTTTTGGCCTTATTGTCCATTTGTCTCCATCAGATGCCCTACACCCAATAATGAGAGTTTGGCTGCCAGATTCTCCATCCGTGAAAGCATGCATAAGAAAAAAGAAACAATACCACAGTGATTCCAGCAGCCGCTAAGCCAACAGGCCGCAAAGCTGCGCCATAGGGCTTTCTACGGTAAGACTGCCGTTGGGTATCTCCAAAGAGTCAGCATGGGCACTACTACGACTTCCAGGGACTGCCGGATGTTGTCCTCCAAATCTATTGCCTAGCACAGCCCTCGTAATGCTGTCCTTCCATCAGCTGGAACAAAACATTTCCGTTCCTGCCGAAAGCAATGGGCCTTTTCTTTGTCAGAACAGCACCTGAAGTGGGGACCGCCAAAATCAAAACTAATGGCCCTTCGACTCCGTCTGCTGCGTGGCGGCAGGCAACCTCAAAGCCCTGCATTTGCGCCTCTCTTTGGGGGAAACATCTGCGTGTTTGTGGCACCACACGTCACTTGGTCCGCGCAACTCATCAAGTTTTGGCCACCAAAAATCATGGCATGCGCCTCCTTGAGGCCGACAAGCATGAGACTACTTACCCCGGAAAGGCCCATTAGTGCTGCACACTTACGGTATTTTCCTGTCCATACATGAAGGTGCACTAACCTTGCTCAGCTGACACACCCAGCATTTCCAGGCGGCAGGTCAGTGGTAGAAGCACTATCTGTGCCCCCCGCTCCACCAAGCCTTGTTCTTTACCACCCAGGAGAAGGGGCCTCGCATTGGTGAATAGCTTAAAAGAACGACCCTGCGTGGTTCCTACTCCAAAAGAGTGTCCTGTCCTTTCCTTTTCAGTCCAGCTGATGGACAAGACTATTTCGTGCACCTCTGCCACCTCCTCTTTCATACAGTAAATGCACAAATATCAGGGTCTCTTCTCATTCTTTTTTCGCACTCAGTGCTCTACACATCACACAAAAGTTGTGCTGTCTACCCAAGACGACTTCACTATTCGAAATAGCACAACTCCCATCCAGCAGGCACTTTCCTTCTGAAAGCTCAGGCTGGGCTTGTACACTACTTCATCCCATAGGACTTCACACTGTTTCCACTCCTCCCGAAGCAACTGTTTCAGCGTTAACCCTCCCTATTTCTCGTCTCCAACTCCTCCTGGTGACATGCCTCAAAACAACCTGGTGCTTCTCCATCTCTGACTAGAGCACCAATCTCAATGGCTCACACTCGATCTCATTAATGCTCATCTCCCAATCTATAAACATGCCTCCAAACAGAGTGTAGTCGTCGGCCTGCTGTTTTACTAACAGTGCCGTCTCAGCCATCACTCTGTTGATCTTTTCACACTGCCAGCAAGTAAAAAGCAACTTTTAACTCTTCAGCCGCTTAAAGAGGAATACATTCCAAATCAGCGCAGTCCTCACAATTCAGAATGGCCAAACCAGCAAGACGTGGACAATCTGGATAGCAAGGTGTGGTTATAGTCAGGCTGACATTACTTTCCTGTGTGGATTCCTTCAGACGGACAAGAAAGACACGCAAAGAAATATTTAGAAGGTCAGACACACTTGCTGCGCCCATACGCGCACTCCAGCTAACATCAGCCGAAGGAGCACGTAACTTAAAAAAACAATTCATACACAAAAACACATGATAACCGCGTATAAATACACACATACGCAATAACCGGGCACGAATTCTCGATACTTTAACGCAAACTTCCGATACAGGGACCACAAAATGTCAACACACACAAGCACATTGTGTAGCGCTTGAGTCCGACCACGCACATGCAACAAACCTTAACATGCACATCCCACACCCCCGTTTACATAACCCCCATGCGCACCACATAACTTGGGCCACACCACGGATACAACGTGCGCGGTTAAAAGGAGCCCGACTCAGCTGTTGGTAAAGCTTCAGTACTAACTATCTTCATTATTTCACGTGACATGTCATGCACGCTGGGCTGGCTGTTTCCGTGCACGCTGAGGCCTGCTCCAGCGCATGCACCTGCACCTAAGCATACAAGATTTAAGGTCACGGATGAACGTAGCCAGGATGAACGTAGCCAGAAATCGAACTCGCGTCCTCGAGAGTCCGGAATCGTTTTTTTTTTTTCCCCGCTAAGGTACGTTGCAGGCTAGTCGATTGGCGTTCATCATTCATAAGGCGTAGCGCACCACGACAGGGACAGAGAAGACACACACACGGCGCTCTGCGTGCGCGTGTCTCCGTTCTCCGTCCCTGTCGAGGTTCACTATGGAGGATTCATTTTTGCTTTTTTTTTTCGTAAGGTAGGGTCTGAAACTGACGGGCCATGTCTCTGAGCGCAGACAAAGCGAATCGATCACGCGCACATTGTCCAGCGCTAGCTAAGGCTTAGATGAGCCTGCACCTTTAAATGCGCCCACCAAGTGCGGTAACAGCTTTCTGCCGAGTTGCATACTCTGTGCCACTTACCGTTGTTTTTTTTTTCGCAGTGCCAGTAGTTCGTGACGGGCGAGGGCCATCAACTGTGGAGTGTTGTAAGCCAGATTCCTTTGACCGACGTTCCAAGGGCCACGGGAACCACGCACAATCGCTGCATGACGCAAAATACCAGGCAGCGACGGCGCTTGATCACTTCAATAATGTTTTTTTGCCTCGAAAGTTGTCACCGACACGAGACCAGGCACTACTAGACGACATGGAATCAAATTTGCCTTTGGCGCTTCGGCTGTAGATGGATTTGGCTCGTGTTTGTATGTTGCCACGTCAGAGAGAGAAAGAGAGAAAAATGTGCACCGAAGGGGCGGTGCGCTGCCGCCAAGTGTTTCTGCTACGTCGCCGCCATCGACGCCAACCTATCGGTGCGCCGCCGCCGCCGCCAACGTGTTTTTTCAGCGCGTCAATTAAATAGATTTTTTTTTCTGCTAACCCACGTTTATTTTGCACCTTCTGTCACCAATCAGACCTTAATTCTGTCCAGGCATCGTAACTGGTTCACCTGTCATTTCAAGTTAAATAAGTGTACTATATAAAACAAAAACTTGTCCAGTGCTCCTAATGATGTTGGATTAGATTAAAACGTGAATTTTAAGATACTTTTGAGTTCATTGTATTTCAGCGGATCCCAGTCAGTGACAGCGCCAACGGTGGCGTTTGGCAATGACAGTTGACATATTCTAGCTGACGAGAATATGCAATTTGTGAGGCGGGCTTTGAAAAATGTTGTAAAGGTGTGGAAAGTTAGTACTGCAATATTCGTAATTATGACTGCGCAAGCAAGTCGAAGAACAAAGGCACTTCTAATGCGAAGGGTTGGGCCAGAACTGGGGACGGGCAGGGTAGAAGCGCGATGCGTATGGAAGATGTTATGACTGACGAAGGGCAAGCTGTTTAGGGCATGGTAACAGAATCGAAATTTGGGCTAGTTGGATATGCGGTTTAGGGCATATTTACGAAAAAAAAAACAGTTAAGAAACTGGACCACATGCATGGCCTTTAATGAACAAAGAAGGGTAAATTACAATTACTATACGAAATGCTCTATCAAACAGAAACAATCACCATTGTGGAGCAGGTTGAGCAAGATCAACAATATTGGACAAAATGGTGATTACTATAAATTTAGTTTGTGTGAACTGTGAAGTAACGCACAAAATATGAATGCGGACAAAACACTGAAGCGTGGGCTTGTATATTCAACGTGTTTTGTCCTGCCCACCATGCGATGCTACATGCCGCGTTATCAAATCAAGTAATCTACCTTTCATTCACCAGTTTTTATCTCGGACTTCATTCAACTTATAGATGCCAATTTGTCACAACCGTGTTTCAAAATGGACACCACATATGTAGCTTGCCCTGCGAGTTGGTTTATGATATTTTTGGAAGAACAAACTAAGGAGCTAAACCTGGCAGGACATCGAGAGAAATGTTTATGGCGGAAAGTCCACAACCCATGTACCAGAAGCGCATTCATGAAACATAGGCTGAGGCGTTCCACAGCTGCACACCTAGCACTACAAAGGCAAGAAGCGTGTCAAAATGGTACAAACAGCACACTTTCATGATCAACGCCCCGTGCACCCACTATCTAGCAACGCGAATCCCTTATATAGTAGTAAGGACAACTGAAGGATCACTTGTACACGCGTTGCACTTCACGTCCACGTTATATTTTTTCCTTTGCCGGTGACACTGATATATTGGGGATGCAAAGACTAGCGAAGAGGTCAGTTTTGTGCCTGAAGAGTGTCGACCTGTCTGATTTCAGTAGACAAGGCCGACTGACAAAGGAATTTCTTTCAAATCATGGAATGTCATTTGCAATGGAAAAAAACAGTTGAACGTGAAACCCGTGAAGGCTTCAAAATGAAAACAGAGCGAAGTGTCATGTGTGAGTGATCCCCCAGCTTTCTTCACAGATTGATTTTCCAAATTGTAAATCTGTCTATTTCCCCACACCGTTGGAACTCGTTCCAGTGAAGGTCCTTCATAAAAATGATTTGCTCATATTTTCGAATAAAAATGGCACGGAATAAAATGGCGACATAAAATGCACCACTGAGATGAGATATCAACACTAAAATGCTAACACGACTAAGAAGCGAATGTATACTGCCTACTTCGAAGGTGAACAACTATTTGTAAATTTGTTTGCAGTGTCATGGAGCTAATGCCGTTCGCGTCGGCGTGATTTCACAATTTGAAGTTAGAATTGACAACAGGTCGTTATGAGTTTCTTCTAAAAAAACCCTAATTTTTGGTGATGTTATAGTGATTTTATGCATCGCACTGGCTACAACTTTAGTGCTAAGAGGTAGTGCGTTTATAGAGTACACCGTTCGCAGACTATGACAAAGTAGAATGAGTAAATTATGCCCAGCGTGCTACAAAACTCGTATGATCTTTTCCCAGATGAGAGAATAACGCATATTGGATTGCGATAATAACGAAAGGAAAAACTGAATAATTATCCGTAACTACATTATTGTGTATCTAGTATAATTCACAACTGGTCGAAATAAATGAACATGGCTTTAAGAGGGCATGGAAGTGGGTTGTGCAGCATGTTCTGGCACATGTGCAACTCCGGGAGTTTTATTTACAATTATGTGCCAAATCAACGGAGAACGAGCACTGTGTTCCACCTTCATAAATCATGCGGCTTCCAAGGCGACAGAGCGGCACGATTCGCGAGCATCGAGCGTCCTTACGCTCTTTCCTGCATTGAACTGCTTGTCCTCAGATGCCGCTTCTTTTTTTTTTTTCATGAATAAATGTGGCGATTGGAAAATTGTGGAGCGCGAAACAAAATATTCGCGAGAACAAGAGATACGGGATGGGTGCTAGTGAATGCCCTTTCAATGTATTATTTTACGCCAAACAAGTTTACATCTCGACGAATCGCAAGTTTTGTAAATGTAGTGACAACACATGCTATCAGCTTTGATATCATTGCCTGCCTTGTGACACGTTGAAAGCTTTCCGAGTGGATTCCAAGAAGGAAGGGGGCAGGAATTAACACACCGCTCCTGCCGTGCGCGACGCTTAGTCACTGGCAAAGACAAATTCCTTCAAACTGTAATGCTGTCAGATTTTTGTGACCCCCTGAAAACTTGAGGAGCTTCTGAACATTTTGCCAGCGCGCCTGCAGTTCAGGACTTCGTATCGACACAGCATAGCAGCACCCGTTTTTTTTTTTTTCGTGTTTTCTTATTCAAACTCCTTTTTATTCATAGTCAGGTTTAACACGCGGAAGCAATTTCGGCGGTTCCTCACCCGTCATTGTGCTCGCCCAGTCCATTCCGCGAAAAGCTTGACGACACAGGCTTTTCTCAGGCTCAAGTTACTCATACCTGAGCTTTTGCGTTCTTTGTACGCCCAAAGGAATGCAGACAGGCTACAAAACGCAGCAATGAGTTCTAGTCTCGGGGTTTAGGACGTGCAGCACAGATATCTGTATTACTTCAAAGGCGAGCCTTCGGCAGAAGTCTGCCTGGTTGGGATAACAGAAAAATAGAAAAACAGAAAACCCCAGCCAATATTTATACTAAGAAACCCAATGTTTTGAAGCCCGATCGTCTTTTTTTCTTGGGGGGTGAGAAGGCCCGAGATGTTTTCCACGACTCCTTGCAGGCCTTGGAAGTAGAGGGAGGGCAGTGTCCTCAGTGATGCGGGTGTTGTCTCGCACTTTCTGCTGAGCGTGCCAGGATTCAACGGGGAGCCGCCAACGAAAGTTTCTTTCTGTGTAGAAGATCACCGCGCTGTCAGGACGGGTATGGTAGCCAACCCAATTACAATGGCCTGCCTCTGCGCTCCGTTCACTGTTCATTTGAGCGAAGTCCTCCCTGTGCGGCCTGATTTTTTCATGGAAGTTCCTGGTTTAGCCAGCGCACGCGATCCTGCACACGGCGCGTTGCGCTCTTCCCGCAGGTGCAAGGTCTTTTGGACCAGCGGAATGAAACTGCCGACGGGGTTGGAAGGCTGGTGGCAACGTCGACTCTTGCCTTCGCTGGCGCATACGATGTAGGAGATCGACACATGACGTTGTTGTGGCACGGTTGGTGTCACGTATTTCCCCCTTCTTTTATCTTACGGAGGGCTCTGCGAATAAACGCCTTTGTAAATACCCGTTGGTGCCCAGGTCACGGATTATTTTCTCCCTTCCACCACTGTGGTGACTGTAGTGGTGATTGGATGATTGGTTATCTTGATTGGAATTTTCACGTTTGTTCAGACTTTATTCTTGCCCGAGAAAGGTGATTTCGAACATTTTTGTACGTTTATGGTTGCTTTTCAAGGAAAGCTAGCAGTAACTGATCTGGGAGGCTGGTGGGATTAGTTAAAACTCGTCTCACCCACACAGCTGGCAAGCACAACAAAGCTTAGAAAGGGGGGGGGGGGGGGGGTCACGAAGGCACGGAGATAGCACAGCAAGATGAAAAGAGAGGATCTTTTGCGCAATGAAGCATTGCTAAAGCCTTTGCGGCAGCCATTTAATTTACGACCACCCCCACTTCCAGTCGTACATTAATGCTCTATCCCCCCGACCCCAACGCACTGTGATAAGAGATAAGACTGGTGCGCGTCATAAATAGTCCCTACTTTTAGGACTCTATGAGCAAAGGAGCACTTACGTTAAAATGTCGCTTTTTTTCTTTTGCAACCCATGGCTGAAAGCTCGTTTGCTTGAGCGCACGATGTTAATTGTTGAAGTCTTGTTTCCATAGTGAGTCGGGACCCATAGGGGGTTTTTCGCTGGGAGGAAAGGAATCCTGGGCTTTCGTGCAAAGCCATAGCTGGCTAGGTGGACGCAGAAAACCACGTGCACGTGAATCACAATGCCGACAAGTCTTTTCAACGAAGGTTTTGTTGCCGCTCCTGTGATCTCCTCTCCGGCGCTGTAAAAATGCGTGACCCCTTCAAAAACGCTGCTGAAGCTCCAACACCAGCCTTTGTATTCCCGTACAAGTCTGCCCCTCTTGAAATGGTTTGCCAGCAGCAGCCAACAGAAAACACGTGACGCAAAGGAGGTTGTTTGTTTACCCGAATGACGAAGG